TAGGGAGCAGAGGTAGAGGTTAAAGGGGAGCTAATAGGGAGTTCAAGAGGAGAGAAAATGTTTTGAAAAAGATGGTGGCAGCAATTGTACAATTATGCTTGATCTAATTGAAATATGGATTGTTATAATATTTGTAAGAGCCCCCAATAACAGCATTTAATAAAAACAAAAAGAATATTCCCAAAGTCTTCTTAAAATTAAATGGTCGTCTGGCTTAACTAGTTAAAAACTGTTGTCCCGGGCATTATGTCCTTTTAAGACCTGCCTAAATGGAATCAAATGTGCACTAGCACCTCCAGAAAGATGAATGAAGAAAGGAGCCAGGTGGGTCCGTGAGGTTCTGTTCATGGTGAAGAATGCTCAGAAAGGGAGCGCGAGGTGAGCTGGGCAACTCCAAGAGTGTGATCAATGTCACGGAATTGCAGGTGTAGAACTTAAGGTTTTTTCCTTCTTTAAGTAATGATGAAAGTCAAGGCAAATAAAAAGATCCTATGAAGTGCAGTTCCTTCAGACACATGTGGGGTCACCATGCATTGGAATCAAGTCAATGGGAACTGGATATTTTGCCTGCCTTTGAGGCTCTGCCAAATACAAGTGATCATACAAGGCTGACTTCCTTGTTGACAGCAATGTCTGCATAAATCACCTCTGTCAAGGAGGAGCAAAGACAAGGGAAGAAAAGAACATGCAGAGGAGCCTGAAAGGAAAGGAAGTCAAGGAAAAGGTGCAATGTCAAGTAAGTCCTGTGGAGAAGAAATTAGGCTGAATTTCAAGGAGACTGTAGAGACGGCAAGAAATTCACTTGGGGGCTGCTCAATTAAGGGAGAGCCTGCTGGAGTTATTTGATACAAGCTGGTAGGTAAGGAAGTCTCAACTAAAGGGGCATTTCTGACTCTGTAGAACTCAGTAAAGCACTAGCAAAGTTAAGAGCAGTCTAGCAACCAAGAGACCCAGGAGGACTCGTTAAAAGACAAAAAACACAAACATACACCTTCTTATAAAACTAAACATCATTCAACTAAAAGTATAGATTTCGCCACCACACCAATCCTGTTCCGGGGATAACTACTGATAACAAATGCACTATTTACTCTTCCAGGGTACTTTCTGTGCACTTACAATGATAGTGCCCATGGTATTACCTGAGGAACCCTGGGTGGCATAGTAGATGCACATGAGGCTTTCGGAATCAACTCGCTGGCAGCAAGGAGAATGGTATTAGTTAGATGTTACAGACAAAAAAAACAGGTATTCTTTCTGTTCCCGTGGGGGTAACACTAAATGCAGAGGACTGGTCAATTTTCACTGCCATCTGACTGGCTATAAGGATGAGCCATATTTGAAGCAAAAGCAGAGATGAGAAAAACCTTAAGAATCTTGGAAGAGCAAGTTCACAATCTATGTCAGAAGTAGCAGGGGCCACAGAGACCAGCTCCATCACAGACTCTGGAAGGACACTTGGCTACTACATGGCTGAGAGGCTGAGAACCTCTCATGTGTGCAAGAGAGAGCTTTATGTGTGCAAGAGGGAGCTTTATGACAAAGAACAATTTTATATTGAGAAAACCTCCCAGCCCAATTCAGATCAAGTTCATAAGTCCAATATTAGCCCATATATCTGATACTAGTCCATAAATTCCTCATCAAACTCATGTAGCTACTCACAGTGATGCGGAATGCAGGAAGATCACAGACCAGAAAGTGAAAAGTCTTGTGAATCCAATGCCAGTGGAAGCATCTCATAATTTGAGCGGTTCTCAATGTGACTCCTCCAGCTCTCCAAGTGTGTCTCCTCAACAGGAAGGTGATGTAGAGAGAGCGAGGAAGTTCCCAGAATCCCCATGAGAAGGCCACACCCACAAGAAAGTATCATCAGCCTTGACCAAATTGATAGGCTAGACTCCACCCCTTCACTGTTAATTCCCTCAAGTTGAAATGAGATTATGTAACTACAACACATGCTTAGTGTTTTCTTCTCCTTTTGGTTTTCTAACTCCAGGTCTTTGTACAATTAATCATCAAAAAGAACATTTACCATCTATCCTGAAGTATAACATTACTAGTGATAGGATAATATCCATAATCCTATGTGTTAGGCTGGGTTGTCGAGAGAAACAAAACCAGTGATACTCATACATGTATAAGAAAGTTTACGTCAAGATGTAATCTATATCAAGAAGGTGTCCCAGCCCAGCCCAACTCAAGTCCATGAGTCAGATGCTAGCCAAGCGTCCTCTCCAGAGGCACATAGCTGCAGGCTGATGACACAAAAGGGTGCAAGGGAAACAATGAGATCATAGACTGGTGGATATAAAAGCACATAGATCCAAGATCAGAGGGAACATGGCAGGGCACCAACAGCTTCCAGGGTCGGAGGCCCACGCGGGGCAGCCAAAGGAGGCAGACACAGAATCCCAGTAAGCAGGGAGGGTGAGGTTGCAAGGGAGAAAGAGGGGTTCCAAATATCTCCCTTACCAAAAGGCCACACTCAGAAGGAGGTATCATTGGGCTGTGACCTGATTGATAGGTTGGACACCATCCCTACACTTTCATCCAGGTACAAGTTGACATAAAATCTAATCACCACAATTTGTAAAGAAGCCCAGTTAATATGGCTATTACTCAGATTTACACATCAATGACTAATGCCAAAGATGAAAACACTGAAGATGAGTTTTACTGGTAGTGTATTATGTTACTCATCGGTCTGCTGACTGCAGGATCAGCAGTTCAAAACCACCAGCCTCTTTGCAGGAGACTTTGGCTTTCTACTCTAGAAAAGAGTTAAAGTCTAGCAAACCCATGTGTCCAATTCTACACTGTCCTACTGAGTCACTACACGCTGGAATCAACTAGATGGCATTGAGTAAGTAGTCTGAAACTCCTCAAGCATACAATCTAGATGCATTGACAATTACTGATGATTGAATGCACAGTTGGGAGTCAAGAAGAAGGAATGATACGTGAAAAATACGTCCGTGGTGATAGAAATGTTGGAGATTGTATGATAGAATTTTATAAGATCAACTATTTTTTCACTGCAAATACCTTTTTTTAATAGCATAAATGCAAACAATACACATGAGCCTCACCAGAAGGAACACAAATGAACGAAGTCGAGTATATCTGTGGAAAGAGATCATGGTGAAGCAGTTGGCCAAAGGCGTTGTTCTAATAACACTGAGCTTCTCCCTCATTTCTTTCCACGGATATAATTCGATTTTTTAATCGTTTTATTAGGGGCTCATACATCTCTTATCACAATCCATACATACATCAATTGTGTAAAGCACATTTGTACATTCATTGCCCTCATCATTCTCAAAACATTTGCTCTCCACTTAAGCCCCTAGCATCAGGTCCTCATTTTTTCCCTTCCCTCCCCACTCCCCCCTATAATTCAATTTACAGCTGAAGAAAGTTAAGACAAGTCCTTGAAAGTCAAAGTACAACCTTAAAAACACCCCATCTGACTTTAGAGATCATGTCAAGAATGGATTTGAAACCTTTAATAAAAATTAGACAAACTGTAGGTTGATATCAGTGGCATCATGAAGTAAAAAGTCTAAAAAGGCAAGAAAGAGAAAAGTTCCATGGATGTCAGAAGAACCTGAAACTTGCTTAAAAAGCTAAATATTTCAATGGATGGTTCAAAAAAATCAAAGTAAATGTTATGAAAATTATTATTAGATTTGATTTAATTATTAGCAATAATAAGCACTAGCTGATGAAGATCAAGGATTTCATCCTTCAGCATGGATTATAATTCAATGTTAAGAATCCTCACAACTGAACCAATCGGTAACATCATGATCAATGGAGAAAAAAATTGAAGTGGTCAAGCATTTTGTCTTACTTGGATCAATCAACGCTCATGGAAGCAGCAGTCAAGAGACCAAAAGATGAATTGCATTAGGTAAATCTGCTACACAAAACCTCTCTAGACCCTTAGAAAGCAAGGAAGCCACTTTGAGGACTGAGGTGTGTGCATCTGACCCAAGCCAGGGCATTTTCAGTGACCTCATCTGCATGTGGAAATTTAGCTATTGAATACAGAAGACTGAAGAACCATTGTTGCATTTGAATTGTGCTGGAGAATATTGAAAGTACCACGGACGGCTAGAAGAAGAAACCCATCTAGAAGAAGAAACCCATCTGTCTTGGAAGAGCGCACCTTAGAGGCAAGGATGGCAAGACTTGGTCTTACGAATTGGACACATTGTCAAGAGAAACCAGCCCTGGAGAAGGACATCATGTTTAGAAGGAGAAGAAGCCCCTGGAGGAGATGGATGGATGCCCGGGTTGCAAACATGGACTCCGGCACAGGAACGATTGAGAGGCTGTCGCAGGACCCGGAAGTGTTCTGTTCTGTGGTGCACAGGGTCGCTATGGGTCAGATTAGACTCGATGGCACCTAACAACATCATTAACAATTCCAGTCCTGAAATCACGGAACAGTTTACAATTGGGCAGGTAGGTAGAAAGCGCAGCAACTGAGAACTGTTTGCGGAAACCAACATCCTCATAAAAGATTTTGTGGACGTCGAGGGGCATCCCCCTCGTCCTTCTCTATTGAGTGCTCGCCTATACTGGACCCGGCAATCTCAAGGCCCGCGTTCCCCACCCCTTACGACACGCCCACCGACTCGGGGCGGGGCCTGCGTGCTGACGCGCTGACGTCCGGCGACGCGCTGACGTCCTCCGGGCGCCGGCTTGGCGGGCCCGGGCCGCTGGCTGGAACCGCAACGTGCCTTCGTTCCTGAGGGCTATGAGGCTGGCGCTAACGGCCGGGGCCGCGGGGCGGGAAGCGGCGCGGGAGCTCGGCGTCGAGGGCCGGCCGAGCCCGGCTCGGGGTGTGCATCGTCCGGCCGAGCCGCCCGCCGCCGGGCACGGCGTGGGAAGACAGCCGGCGGGGCTGTGAACCGGGAGGGGAGTGAGCGGCGAGGCCGGGGTAGCCCGGGCCGTGCGGGCGCCCCGGGCCGGAGCCCGCCCCTCTCGCCATGATCGACTCGGTGAAGCTGCGCCGGGACAGCGTGGCCGACTTCTACTCGCACTACGAGTACCTGTGCTCGCTGCAGGACTCCGTGCCGCTGCCCGCCGTGCGCGCCTCCCTCCGCGAGGGCGTGCTGGAGCTGAACGCCGACCGCCTCCGCGCGGCGGACTGGGCGCCCCTGCTGAACACCCTCAAGATAAATAAAGACCTGCCCCTGGTCTCTATAAAGAGCGGCTTCCAGCCGTGGCTTGGAGAAGCAGGTTGGTAGTTCCCGCCTGCCCAGCCCCTCGGCGGTGTTGCTTCTTCCCCGCGACCCGTCGTGGAACGCCCAGGATGGAGTCCTGGTTGCCACTCCCTGAGCATGATGTGTGCAGTGGGCGCGACGGGCGGCCTGGGACACTTACCTGCAAGTCACTGTAGGTGTAATCCCTACACCACCAGGCCACCTAGGAGATAAGCAAAGTAGCTTCGAGCGGTTCACGGGGAAATGGAATTGCAAAATAATCCTGGAAGGATTGACAGTCTCGGAAACCCATAGGGGCAGTTCGAGCTACCTGCCCGTATAGGGTCTGTGGCTTGGGGCCAAGTATCTCAGTAGGGTGGAAGTTTTGCGTTTTCTTCAGGAGGGCTTGAAAGGCACGGCTGTTCTGTGGCTAGCCCAGAACAGATGGCTTTCAACGTTGATTCAATGTGTGAATGCAATCACTAATTTTGCCAAAATTATCTTATTGTAGTTGACAGAAGGAAGGTTTTTCGAAGTCGAGTTCCTGCAGTAAGTTCCAAAGATGTGTCCTTCCTGCTCTGTAAAGCCGTGCGAGGCTGTTTAAGTGTATCAGGTGCTCTGACGAACCTGGAACTGAATGGGCTGATTCTGCGCGAGAGAGATTTAACTGTTCTAACAAAGGTAAGCTTTCTGCAATTGTGCTGTGAACATTTTGTAGTTGCTTTGGGGAAGGGAGGGAGAGGAGGAAAACATTACTTGTTAACCCCTTTTTTCCCCTCCCATTAAAGGGATTGAATAAATCGGCTTCTTTGGTACACCTGTCTCTTGCCAATTGCCCGATTGGAGATGGAGGATTAGAAAGTGAGTTTCAAATCTCTTTACCTGAATCAGGCCCCTCGGGTCGCTCAGTCCCCCCATTGGAATTCCTGCCTTGACCTTTCTCTTGCTGCCACCTGTGCCTGGACTTGCCTTCAGTGCCTGTCCAAACTAGCCAAGCGTCACTTGAACCCCGAGTATAGTGTTTGGTATTCTCAGATTTTTGTGTTTGCTCATCTTCCTTCAGAAAATGTTTTTATAAGGGGGCAGTGGGAAGATCTAAAGAAGAGGGGAGGGGATTATCCTTAACAATTTAAATATGCTCATATGCAAGCATAATTAACTCCTAAGATAGAAAATACATGCAATTTGCAAAAGGCTAGCACACATGGAGAGTCTTGAGAGGAATCACAGAGACAGTGCTCTGACTAGGCCCACTAGACTCCGAGTGCCACTCCTAGAATAGTGAAGGGGGTGGGGGAGATAAGGAAGCCTGCATTTTAATTTGAGGGCACAAACCTTGGAGTCCTCTGTCTTATAATGCTTGAGCATATTGTAAAGCATCTAATAAAAGACTGTTTACAGTTGAAAAATTACTCAATAATAGACTTTGTTAGAAACAGGAGGAGAAAGATTCTGTTGTTCAGGGTTTTTTCCCTTCCATCTGTCTCAAAAGGTGGTCTACAGTACTTGACCTAAGTGATTGGGAATAGCATTTACAATATTTAGAGCATTTACTTTCAACGTCTAAGTAAAATTCCCCTTTTATGTAAACTACAGTCCTACTTATTTACTGGCATATTTCAGACTGCCCCAATCCATTGGTTGCCTGAGAAGATTTGTAAACAGTGAGTGTAAACAGTGAGCTGTAAATGAAATAACATTACTAAATTACGACTGGCTCAGTTGTATAGGTGATGATCGTACTGTGTTGTGTGCATTTCCTTTTAGTTATTTGTCAAGGTATAAAGAACTCCGTCACCCTGAAGACTGTGAACTTCTCTGGGTGTAATCTGACGTGGCGAGGAGCTGATCACATGGCCAAGATCTTAAAGGTGATTTTATGTTCAAGCTTTCATGAAACCAGATTACACCATTGAAGCACCTTCATGGTGTTGATACGAGCTGGCAGGGTTTTGTTTGGTTTTTTGTCTTTGAATGGATAAGGTGATTTACTGCATTTGTTTTCTGATGGAATGACCATTTTAAAGTTTGGAGTGTTCCCACTTAGTAAAGGTAGTATACTTAATCCTAGATGTGAGAGCTTTAATATATAATACACGGTGAGCAATACATCATTTTGCAGTGATTGAAAATATTGGGGGGGCACTGTGAAGAAGTACTTGTTACTACAGTCCTCGGTTGACTTAAATGATTTCAGTTGATTATTGTTAACCAATAACGATCACTGTGTTACCTGCTGGCATCCTAGTTGATTCTGACTCCTTAGAGGACAGAGTAGAACTGCTTCAGTAACTAGTAGAATTTTGAGACTGTAAATCTTTATTGAAGGAATGAATACCTCCTCTATCTCCCACGGGGTAATTGGTAGGATAGAATGGCTGACCTTTCAGGTAGCAGCCTAACGCTTAACCCCATTGTGCCACCAGGGCTTCCTTTTGTTAACGGTTATCATTTATAAAGTAACAAAAGCCACAACGTTAGCATTTTGAAAGATACCGTTTTTTTAGGCATCCTTATCACATGATGCCTGCACGACTAACCTTCTGGTGATTGTAAACACAATCTTTAACCCGAACATTACTTGTTAACTTGACATGACTCCTTTTTGGTGGCTTGCAGTACAAAGAGCGCTAGGGCCAAAGCTGACCCACTGCCTGTCTTTGTAAAAAAACTTTTATTGGAACGGAGCCTCGCCCTGGTGTTTCCACGGTCTCTATGGCTGCATTTGCTTCACAGCGGTAGCATTAGAGTTGCAGCCAAAAGTTTATGCCCTACTAAGCTGAAATTTACTATCTGGGCCTTTCTATAGATAGCAAGTCTACCCATCCCTAGTGTAGTCATCAAGAGCATGGATCCTGGAAAATTCCAGTTCTCCTTTGTAATGCCCTGGGTAGATTTCTCAACCCCTCTGCCCCTTCTTTTCTCAGCTGAAAAGTGTGCGTGATAAGAAACCCTGCATCAGTGATCATTACTAGCCTCAAGTAAGCGAATTTGTGTAACATCGTGTCTGGTACCTAACAGTGTCTTTGCTGTTGTTTCTACTTGATGTAGAATGATTCCACGGATTTACCTTCTAGATTGTGATGGGAATTAGGAGTCATTTGTTGCTCAAGAAAGTGATGGTTTTTTTTTTACCTTTTAAAGTCATTGTTTCATATTGCCAAATTTTATTTTGCGAATACGTAGGGAACTACTTCTAATGTGTTTTCAAACAGCATGTGCCCTTTAAAATCAAGCTAGAAGTTTCCTATGATTTATCACACCAATCCTATTCCAGGGCTCTAACACTGGTGTAAGGACCCCTGGTGGTGTTGTGGGTTAAGCACTGGACAACAGCTGCTCACGGAGAAAGATGAGACTGCCTGCCCCTGCAAAGGGTTAATCTCAGGGGCCCTGTATAAAGTCGGCAGGAGTTGATAGAGTAGCTGTAACCGTGGTTTCGGGCATAGGAACGAGTATGAGGATGGCGCAGAGTTGTGCGGTGCTTGGTTCTGTTGGACACAGGGTTTCTATGGGTTGGAACTGACTGGATGGCACCTAACAACAACAACGAGTTGGAATTGACTTGGTGGTTGTAGATTAATCCTGGTGGGTGCACTCTGGATTTGCAAGATCCATTGGGTTATGAGAAGAAAATAACATAAATAACTATTGGCATTTTTGCCTCATTCTGTATTAATACGCCTCTTTTATGTAATTTATAATGTATGTAAAATGTTTGTCCAGAATATCATGTGTAACTTATTGGTGAGATATGTGCTCAACAAGTATTTATTTGTGGGGTGCTTGCTCAAGATGTGTAGAGCCCAGTGGAGGACAGAATGGTAGCATTTCATTAGGGCCTCGGCAGTGATAGAATTGTTTATTCAGTTCCATGACTTGGCATGAAACCAAAACCAAGCGCACTGCCATGGAGTGGACTGACTCAACGATGACCGTGCAGACCAGGCTAGAACCCCTGTGGGGTTCCAGGACTGTAACTGTCGATGGGGGTAGAAAGCGCCGTCTTTCTCCCACTGACTTGGCAGACAAGGGAAAGAGAATTCATGAGAGTTCATTGGGTTGTTAAGGTTTGGACATCTAATCAGTGACAGATCACCCTGTCGTAGACTACACGGCTCATTAAGGGCAGGGCTGGAATCCGTCATTTCACTCCTTAACCAGAATCTACTGTTGGTTCCCTCGTGGTGGTGACTCTCTCTTCTGGCATCTGTCGTGAAAATGAGAGTATAGCTATGCTAAGCCACACTAAATTTATGTTAACTCACTGCCAATTCTGACTCATGGCAACCCTATAGGATAGGGTAGAATTGCCCCTGTGGGTTTCAGAGACTACAACTCTTTATTTTAATTTTTTTGTCTTTTAAGACAATATTTTTCTTTTACTGGGGACTCTTACAACCCTTGTTACAATCCATACATTCATTGTATTGCATGTTTGTGCATACGTTGCCTTCATTCATTTCTAGACATTTACTTTCTTTTGAGCCCTGGGTATCAGCTCCTCATTTTCCCCTCCCTCCTCCCCACCTTCATACCCCCTTGGTATATTATAAATTATTATTATTTTCATATCTTACACCTACCACTGTCTCCCTTCCCGTGTTTTCTGTTGTTCTTCCCCCTGGAGAGGGGTGTATGGTTATGTGTCCCTCATTGAGATTGGTTCCCCCTTTTTCCATCCCCCCCCACACACACACACTTTATTCCTACCTTTCTGGTATTGCTATTCCCACTCCTGTTCCTGGAGTCTGTGTGTTGTGAACCCCCATCTCTTTTCTATACCTGTGCACATGTTCCGATATAGTCTGAATTGAAAGCAGTACTGGGGTCATGATAGTGGGGGATGAAGAAGCCTCAAGGAACCAGAGGACTATTGTGTGTTTCATCTGTGCTTTTCTGTACCCTGGTTGACTCATCCCTTCCCTGTGGCCCCTCTGTGGGGGGATTGTTCCATTGTCTACAGATGGCTTTGGGTCTATGCTCTGCCCTCCTTCATTCTCAACAATATGTTTTTGTCTGTTTGTTATGTGTCTTCTGTGGTCCAGATGACTCCGTGATCATACTGATGGTGTGCTTCTTCCATGTGGGCTTGTTGCTTCTCTGTTGAATGGCCACTTGTTTGTTTAACTTCAAGCCTTTAAGACCCCATATGCTATATCTTTTAATAGCCGGGTACCATCTGCATTCTTCACCACATTTGCTTATGGACCCATTTTGTTTTCAGGAGGGTGAATATCACAGAGGGCCGATTTGTTAGAACAAAGCGTTTTGTATTGACTATGAGCAGAGACCCGAAGTCCATCCACTACCACAGTGTATTGCCGTATAAATATATGTTCACAGGCCAGTGCCTCTATTTTTGTGAATTCATATATTTACATGTATACACACCTACGCTTATGCCTCTTATGCATTGCTTTGCTTGCTAGGTCCTTTTTCTGTTTCCTTTTGCCTTCCTCCTGCCCCACCATCACTTTCCCCCTATTTCCACCTCTTAGAACTTCCTCTTAGCCAGTTTGCTGTTGCTCCAACACCCTTAGGATCTCTAGTTCCTCCTTATTGTTAACTCTAATTCCCTAGTTGTTCCCCTGTCTATGGCACCGCCTGCTGCCCACACCCTTCCCCTGCTGCCCTTTCCCCCCAAGTCCCCCTTGGGGACTGTTGCTCCCGCTGCATTCTCCTTGACTTGGTTCCCATGCCTGTCTTACATAAGTAGGCAAACCAACTATGACAAAGACCAAACAAAAGAAAAGATTTAAAGAAGAAAAGGAGAGAAAAAAGAGACTATAGAAGAGAAAAATATATATATAATTCCAGGTCTGTTCACTGACCTTCATGACTACCTCCCCACTGTACAACTCTTTAAAAGAGTCGAAAGCTCTGTCTTTCCCTTGAGGAACGACTAGTGATTTCAAACTGTTAACTTTGTAGTTAGCAACCCAATGCATAACCCACTTTGCTGTAAGCCATACTAAAATACGAAAACCAGACCCACTGCTAGCAAACTGATTCCAATTCAGCAACCCTGTGTAGGATTTGCTAGACTGCTTATCTTTACAGAGCAGAAAGCCTCACCTTTACCCTTAGAAGTGGCTGGTGGGTTTCAAATCACCCACCTTGTAATTAGCAGCCCAGTCCCCTACACCGTCAGGGTCCTTTCTAGCACAGTTCTCTGAAAAACATGGGGATGGCTATCCGTCAGAAGAAGCGGCTGGATTTTGGTTTAGTGGGCATACCTTGTTTGCTTATCCAAGTGTCATAATTTAATTCATTGTAGTATCAGACCATGAGAAGGCATGAAGAAACCTGGGCTGAGAGTCTTCGTTATCGGAGGCCTGATCTCGACTGTATGGCCGGCTTACGGCGTGTCACTTTCAATTGCAACACACTCGTTGGTGATCCAGGTGCTCATGCTTTTGCAGAATCTCTTAGTGAGGATTTGTGGCTTAGAGGTAAGTTGAAGGAATGTCAGAACTTGAAAGTCATTGAATTAAATATGTCAAGTATTAAATATGCTTGACTTTCAGCACAAGTGTTGCCATAAAAATATAAAAGCATTCTTCTTTTTCCCTATTAGATTTTGATTTTCTACCTTTTGTGAAAGTTACATATATTCCTTTATCATATTACCCATAATTTTAATGCCCAGGCATGATGACTGTTCATTTTGGACTATTGTACCTTCTGTCTTTTTTCCGATAAATAAGAAAGGGCTTCAGAATGTGGAAAAATATGTTCTTTTCCTTTTTTTTTTCCCCATGAAATTTTGAAGCCTTGTACATGTATGCACACAGAAATAACAGAAAAGAAATACTGTGCTTACTTCCTGCCATGGCGTCCATTCTGACTCACAGAGACTTGATGGACAGAGTAGAACTTCCCCTGTTTGTTTCTGAGGCTGTCAGTCTTATAAGAGTAGAAAGCCTCATCTATCTTTTTTGGGGAATGGCTGGTGGTTTCAAACTGCTGACCTTGTGGCTAGCTGCCCAATGCATAGCCCACTATGCTATCAGGACTCCCTTGCAAAATTTACTTACTATTGAACAACCCTGACATCACTGCATGGTGTGTATTTAGATCCTCTCTCACCTGTGTGCAGTTCTGTATCTAGTCAGTCCTCTGCTGGTAGAATCAGAGACATGTACTTTTCACCTGTTGTTGATAACTGTGTGGTAGACATCATGTACATGCATTTCTGTGCCCATCGTGGTGGTGGTGGCGGCTGCTGGTCGGGTGACATCATTCGGTTCCGATTTAGAGTGAGCCCATGTACAACAGCGAAACGCAGCCCAGTCCGTCGAGATGACTTCTGTAACATAATCTGTGAATGTGAAGCACTCAGTAAGACTCATTGCTAGCCCTTTTGATATGCCTTACCAAATCCTCCCCCAGAAGTGCTGTGCCAGTTTATCATCTTCGCCGTATGTGAAGACCCTCATCTTCGTCAGCTTTGAGTCATGTCACTTTTTAAAACTGAGAGACACTCAAAACTGACAGGCAGACACCCTGGCAAACTGGAAAACACGATAACCATCTATGATTCCACCATCCAGAATGAACGGCCTCGCCACTCTGGCCTGTGCTGCGTTTCCTTCCAGCTTCCCTTTGTGTGTTTTCAAGGGAGGGAATGATGCTGTCTGCTCTTTGCTTTTTGTTTCTTTTTTCCTAGACATTTCTATTTTTTAATCATTTTGGGGGGGCTTGTACAACTCTTATCACAATCCATGCATATATCCATTATGTCAAGCACATTTGTACATTTGTTGTCATCATCATTCTCAAAACATTTGCTTTCTGCTAGAGCCCCTGATATCAGCTCCTCATCCCCCCCACCCTTCCTCATGAACCCTTGATAATTTATGAATTATTATTTGGTCATGTCTTACACTGTCCGACATCTCCCTTCACACACTTTTCTGTTGTCCATCCCCCAGGGAGGAGGTCACACGTAGATCCTTGTAATCGGTTCCACCCCTCCTTCCATCCTTCCAGTATCACCACTCTGAGCACTGATCCTGAAGGGATCATCCACCCTGGATTCCCTGTTTCCAGTTCCTATTTGTACCAGTGTACATCCTCTGGTCTAGCCAGATTTGTAAGGTAAAATTGGATCGTGATAGTGTGTGAGTACAGGGGGGTGGTGGTGGAGGGGAGAAGCATTTAGGAACTAGAGGAAAGTTGCATGTTTCATCGATGCTACACTGCACCCTGACTGGCTCGTGTCCTTCCCATGACCCTTCTGTAAGGCGATGTCCAGTTGCCTACAGATAGGTCTAGGGTCCCCATTCTGCACTCCCCCTCATTCACAATGACATGAATTTTTGTTCTTTGATGCCTGATACCTGATCCCTTCGCCACCTCATTATCACACAGGCTGGTGTGTATCTTCCATGTGGACTTGGTTGCTTCTGAGCTAGATGGCTGCTTGTTTACCTTCAAGCCTTTAAGAGCCCAGGCGCTATATCTTTTGATAGCTGGGCACCATCAGCTTTTTTCACGCTGTTTGTTTAACAAAAGCAGAGTACTCTCTAAATTTTACTGCTCTTCTCACTTCTTACAGCAGGAACATTGAAAGCCAACACACTTGTGGCTAACATCATTTTCAGTGACTTTCCAAAATGACATTGAGTCCGTTCCATTATATGGATATGCCATAGTACACTTAAAAATCAAACCCAACTCACTGTGTTGAGTTGTTGACAAATCATAGCAACCCTGGTGCCATAGTGGTTATGCGTTGGCTGCTGCCTGCAAGGTCAGCAATTCGAAACCACCAGCCGCTCCACAGGAAGATGGGGCTTTCTACTCCCGTAAAGAGTTACAGTCTCAGAAACTCAGGAACAGGTCTGTCCTGTCTTACAGGGTCAGCCACAGTGCAGGAGCTAGTTCATGCTTATATCCTTGCCCACATCTCTGTTTCTTTAAAGTCTTATGGATCAAAGGTGATGTACATTACAAAGCCTTTTGTTATCAAGTCAAAAAAAGAAGCTATAAAATCTTAGGAACTTTTTTTTAAGTTGCTGATCTCATTCATCGAAATGTTAGGAACTTATACCAAAATACCGAATTGTAAAGCTACTTTTTCTTGACACATCCTCCCTCTAGGTCTGTGCTTCGGAGAGAGGCCTTTCCAGCTCTCAATTTTACCCCCAAAGATTTCTGCACCCTTCAACTTACACTGTTTGAAAACAGTGGTTTTGACCTCCTCACGGGACTCAAATTTTCCTTTTAAATGTTTGCTATTGTTTCAGTTTGAAGCACAAAAATGATCTGAAGGGGCAGGATCAGGCGGTAGGGCAGCATAGCATAAGGTTTCCCAAGGGAATTCTCAAAGCACACTCGCTGCTGCCTTCAAAGAATAAGCAGGTGCATTGTGATGGGGAAAACATCATTCCTGTTGCAGTGGTCCTGGGCTTTTCTTAGCAGTGCAGATCCCGTTTTTTAAAAGCATCTTCATTAAAAAGTCCCGAACATAACCCTTTGTGAACATTTGTCAAGATTATTACCCCTTTGGAATTCTGAATGTTGGCCCTGTAATAAGGTGACAGGATTTTAACATTGGTAAAGGGGGACACCATTGATAAAACTCATATCCTGGCAAAATAGCTACATGGCAGCCGAAAACCATATACCCTAGCTTGTCGTGCATTCTTTCCAAAAATCGGGACTTTTTAAAAACGCCGCAGGACGTGGGAAAAATTGTTAAAAATCAGACTGTCCCACCAAAAGCAGGCCGTCTGATCACCTTACCCTCTAACCACCTGAGCTTACTTTCCTTGAACTTACCTGGCCCAGCAGATCCCCTCCGAAGTCACCGTTTTGACTAAATCTTTTTGAGAGGCACCCTAACAAGACCCAACAAGTGTATTACTTAGAGAACTCAGCAGATCCCAGAGACATGCGTAAACCGTGTTGTTGGGAATAAACCCCTGCGTGTTTGAACTGGAAGCCAAGTAGTAATACTTTTTGACTTACCCGTGTATGACCTCTTAAGATGTTTTTCTCTGTCATTTTATGTTAAAGCTGGCAGGTCTTAAAGTTCTTTTGTCTTATTTCTTAGATATTTTAGTGTAATTATTGAGAGTTAAGTGGAACTGAAGACCTAGATCATGTTCAAAGGAATGCATTCTGAACTCCACCCAGTTGCGCCAGTGAGAGTTACACTTTCATGGGCATCTTTGCTCAGTGTGCACTGACCTTCATTTGGTGATGTGTTTCTTGCCATGGGTTATGTGCCACACACTAATTGGATTGAGCATCCACTAAATGTTGGATCATTTATTGGTACTCTAGCGAGAGGATAATTATGGAACATCCAAAAAGAGTTTGCTTGGTAGTTATATTTTCAATAATGTGTGTGTGTGTGTTTCTGTTCTTATTTTTTCAGTACACATGATTAAAAACCTGCCTTGACTAGCATTGTGCAGGAATCTCATGCATATGTAAGTGAGAGTTGTCTGTAAATTAAATCTGTATGGAGTTGGCCAGTGACCTTTTGTCTTTCATCATAAGCACTCGATTTGCAGCAGTGTGGCCTCACGAATGAAGGAGCAAATGCTTTCCGGCAGGCCCTGGAAACCAACAAGACTTTGGTCATTCTGGATATCCGAAGAAATCCACTCATTGGTATGTCTCTGCATTGCTCTGCGTTGATAACCAATACCAGCAGCAAGATGAAAAAAAATTATATATGAGCAATTTTTAAAACTTAGGAGGATTGTTTTTCTAATTTCCTCCCCTTTGTGTTTTTAACAGCTACGTTACAGATTAATATGGGTTGTGCATGTAAATTACCTTTGGCTGCTACTCGATGAAGGGGAACCTAGATTATAATCCTGACTCCACTAAGAGCAGTATTTGCTTCTTTTGAAACCTTGGAACACTTCATTTAGTTACTAATTTGATAAGCATACACACACACACACACACACCCCCAAAATCCACTGACCGAGAATGACCCTATCTAGAGTTTCCAAGATTAAATCTTTTACCGGAGCAGACCGTCATCTTTCTCCTGAAGAGCAGCTTGTAGGTTTGAACTGTTGACTTTGTTGTTAGTAGCCAATGCTTAGCCTCCAGCACCACCAGGGAGCTTTAGACAGTGGTTTAAGTAGTAGGAATGTAGACAAGGTCTTGCTGTCATAGAGCTTACATCATTCTAATGGGAAAGTTAACAGTAAAAGTACAATTTCTGTTAGTAGAAAGCACAAGAATAGCATCAGATAAGGAAATAGAAGGATTTGTCAAGGACTGCTTCACTGAAGAAATGACGTGAGCAGAAATCTGAGTGAAGAGATGGAGTAATGCATGGCGCGAGCCGGGGAGAATGACATTTTAGGACGAGGCAGTGGTGGGCACACCGGCAGGATGTGGGAGGGGCCGGAGTATTTCAGGAGAGCAAAGAGGCCAGCATGACTGGAGCATGGCATGAGGGAGGACCTGGTGAGCAAAGAGGTCAGAGGACTGACTTCCCAGCAGCTGCACTTGTACAGCTTGTGTGGCCAGGTGAACTGCAAGTCAGAAGAGGGTATTGAGCTGGAACATAGTGCGATCTGAGTCGTATTTCAGAATGTCCACTTTGGAATGGAAAATGGAGTATAGGTAGAGGCAGAAAGAGAATAGCAGACAAGTTAAGACATGGTTATGTGAGGCGGTCCAATTGAGCAGTGGTTGAGAGACTCAGGTAGTTTGAAGGTACTGAAAAGTGGTTTAATTCAGAATGTGTATTGAGGCTGGAGCTGACAGTTGCTTCAGATTGATTAGAGTTTAAAGGAAATTTTGTTTTTAAGCCATAGGTATTTAACGGTAGAAGAACCCTTAATGAGTAGTGTTTTGGGGAGGCATAGCTTTGAGGGGTATCAAGACTAGTTTGGCTACATTAAATTTAAGACATGTAGATAATGCCCAAGGTCTTGGCTTTCTGTCCATCTGTGTCCAAAGCCACTATAGTTCTAAAATGCACAAATCTGGTCACTTCACTGCCACCAAAATAGGAACCATGAGAGGTGAGAGGTGACATGCTTTCATCTTAAAGGTTTTTGAGGAAGAAGTTGGAGTCCTCAATGGAAAGGTAGATGGGTAAGTATAGTAAAGGAAATTTGATGTCTAATTTTATGGGGCATGCTTTAATTAGTTGACTTTTTTCAATGGCCTACTCATTGGAGTACAATTACTGTAGTTTCCAATTTCCTTTTCAATCCAGATCATTCTGTGATGAAAGCAGTTATCAAAAAAGTTCTCCAGAATGGAAGGAGTGCTAATTCAGAGGTATAACATGTTTTAATCTTTTAGGGGGGAAAAATGACTTCCTAATTGCTAGTTTTTCTTCTCTCTTTAATAAAATTAATTTGTTGGTATACTTTTCTGCCATCTTAAATTTTCAGTCAAATCAACTACCTTTTCTGGTTTTGAAGACAGTGTATGATTCTTCAATCTGGGGGCCCAGAAATGCAGATCACCCTTTTCATCATTTATTGCCCATTAACTGAAATATAATATTTATCATCTCCAGTACCAGTGGATCACTTCCCCATCAGCAAAGGAGCCATCTAAAACTGCTAAACAGAGAAAGAAAACTATCATTCTTGGAAGTGGACGAAAGGGAAAAGCTACTATTCGAATTGGTAATTGTTTCTACCTTGACTTCTACAATTAATGGAATGTATGTCCCTCGGGTTTTCCAGTATGTGGAAACCAGAATCGCAACCACAGGAGTAGCCCTGACACATAAGTTGGATGTCGGCTGCCCCAGGGTCCTTGCCTGTGGAAGCATGTAAGACCACAGCTTCCAGAGCGTTGCTGCTTGTCTAGAGAGACCCCATAGGCTAGAGCAGAACTGCCCCTTGGTGTTTCCAAGACTAAATCTGTACAGAAGTCGATGGCCACGTCTTTCTCCCATGGAGTGGCAGGGGTGTTGTTCTACCTGCTGGCCTGACAATTGATAGCTTAGTGCCTGACCACTGCACTACCAGCATTTCTAAGGAATAATATAGAGGAACAAAAGCTTCGTTACAGAGCAGATAATCAAACAATTAGCAATGTAAAATCTTTAACTTGGAAGCTACCTGAAGTCTTCAGTGGTTTTTTTGAAGTTTTTCATTTCAGCTTAAAGTATAAGCAATAGAAATAGAAAAACCCCCTCCAAACTCATTTTCCTATGAGCAGTATTTGCGGTTTCCTTTTCTCTTAAACTGTTTGTTGTCCATCATTTTTACACAGCTTAAATACAATTTTGCATACTTCTTTTCGTGTAGTTATACATTTTAATGCATTTATAAGATTTCACTGAGTTAATGGTTTTATTTTTATAACTAGTGATAAATTGAAAATAACGTAATTACCAAATAACTTTAAAATGTTACTAGAGTTGGCTTTGTAGATGAGACATTTTTTATTATTAAAGGATTGTGATTTTGATTTACCAGTAATCAGTTCATCTTCTGTCACCCATCACCTAGTAGTTGCTCAGAGAATTTATTAAACGTCTTAAAAAGCTTACTTTTCCTTATTTCAAAAGTGCTGTTTTAGTAAGCACATAGTACATGAAAGGAGAACATTGGAATTATGGTATAACTATAAATTGTAAAATGTTTTTAAAAGTTTCTGAGTTGGCGTTTCCATATATGACTTTCAGGAACATCTTAGAAATTCTAATCTTAGCATACAACAGGCGATCATGGGATGGTAAGAAAAATAATTATATATATTTTCTTAGCATGATTAAACAAAGTGCAAATATAAGTGAAGTCTACAAACTCACTTGAGTTTTGTTTTGTTTTTTAATTAATTTTACTACTTTGGATTTTTTTGTATTTGCTTCAGTCGGGAAGGTGAGCATCACGGAATGCCAGGTTATTAGAACAAAGTGTTCTTGCATTGAGAGTACTTGAGTAGAGGCCCAATGTCTGTCTGCTACCTTGAAAGTTAACTTATAAATATATGTACATAGATCTATTTCCCTATCATTTTATATATAAATATATTTACATGTGTACATGACTGTATTTAGACCTCTATAAATGCCCTTTGCCTTCTAGCTCTTTCCTCTGTTTCCTTTTACTTTCCTCTTGTCCCACTTTCATGTTCGGCCTTCATTCGGGTTTCAGTAATTCCTCTCGATTATATTGCCCTTGATCAAGCCCTAACAGGCATCCTTTGTCTTCCTCGCCATCGATTTTAGATCACTTATTCTTCCCTTGTCCCTGGGTTTGTTAACACCCACTCCCTTTGCCTGCCTCCTTTCTCCCATGTCCCCCGGAAACATCAGTCCCGTTTTCTCCTCCAGATTGTTTAGAAGATAGGAACTTTTATTGGATTTTTTTTCATCTTCTAACAAGGTAACTGTAAAGTCTTCTAGTTAAAATTCTATGTGCTTCTTAATTCCAGTAACAAAACAAAATTACGTATAGATAAACCATTTTGAAAATCTATATAATCCATGATATATATAATCATTAGTATCTAAAAGATAAGGAGCCTCTATGGCACAAACCTCACACACCGCATTCTTTCTTTGAGAGTAATAAAAGTCAAAAAAATAAATCACATGGAGTTCCTAAGAAGCATATAAATTGATCCAGGAGCATTCAGAAATTATCGATGACTTGTATTAAGTGAAATCTGTGTCCCTTATACCATGAATTTTATATGCTATGCTAACACAGCTGTATTGGCTTATTGACACAGTAGCAGGTAGGTTCCCAAGACTAAGTCATTATGCAGTATCAAGGATGACCACATCACCTCACCCCTGCCACTGTTGCTCCCCACTCCCCTGTGTCACCTCAGGAGAGCTTAGCTCCCACAGCCGCTCAGAGTTTTGCAGCTCCTGGTGGCCCAAGTACCCCCATATGCATTTCTGGGACACCCCCCCCCCTTCTTCTGCTGTTCAGAACGGGTAGGCCTGGCTTATCTCTTCAGTGATCCCAAAATGTGCTTGGTGGCGCCTTGTCTTTGGCAGGGGCTCTGGGTGCTATAGAAGGCATTTATACTGCCCACTAGGTCTCCCTGCCAGCCTCTTGCCCACCCGTTCCCCTCTGTTCTCATATCTTGAGAATTGACAATCTAGAGCTGCCCCCAGGACTGATAGCCAGGCCTTCCCTCTGCTTTTGACCTTAAACTGGTTGCTGCAGGCTATTCACTCATTTACCCCTTCTCCCAGGTAACCCATCCCACCCTCACCTGTGACCCCAAGGAGTGGAATAGTCACTGGAGAAGCATGTAGGTCCTGCAGGGCCTGGGAACCAAAGTGCCTAGTCTCAGTGTTCCTGACTGTGGCCTGCCTTATCCCTGCCACCCTGCAGGGCTGGGAGCTAGGGTTAGACACCAGCATCTCACTTCCTCCTGTGACCAATTGGACCCACAATGTAGCATCCTATCCCTGCTGGCTTGACTCAGCCCACTGTCCACTCTGCTCAGTACCCTCCCAGCTTGGGGAGACCACACTCCTCCCTGCCCATGGGGTGAAGTAATACCTGTTAAGGGCTCCCTTTCATGAAGTGAGCCTCTTTTGGATGACCTGGACAGCATTATAAGGTGCACATCTGTATGCTGTTAAGAGTTTACACATGTCCCTGCATCTTCATTCTTTTTTTTTTTTTTTCTTTTAATGCTTCCTCAAACATAGGAGTGGCTACAAAGAAGCCTGTGAACAGTGGGCGAAAAGAATATAATGCTCCTGATCCTTTGCCACCTGGCGTGTCTGGCTTCCTGCCTTGGCGTACTGCGGAACGAGCAAAAAGGAAAAGGTAGTGGATTGTTATTTTCTCTCTTTGTCACGCAGAATTCTGTGTTTTGGAGCCTCCCTTATGTGGGCAGTCTGCGTGACTTTCTAGAGGAAGAAAAGGATGACTCAGTCATAGCTTCTGCCTAATGAATCCTTTAAGGAAGATAAACAAAAAATAATTATAATTGGGAACTTCAAGTAATTTCCTAAGTGTCATAACAAGTGTAATCCTCTGGGCCTCTAAAGGAGGCTGAAGTGATCCCCACGTGGGCAGGTAAGCAAAGGTTTCATTAAAGGCACAGGTAGTTGAGCCAAGCCTTGTAGAGCAGAAGTAGGAATTTGGGTAGGTAGGATTAAGAAAGGGGGTATTGTAGACTTAAAGAATAGTTTCCTGCAAAATGGATGTTAGGCTTAGTCTAGCACAATTGTCTTTACTCGTTGTTTGTTTTTTTTAAAATAATTTTATTAGGGGCTCATACAACTCTTATCACAATCCATACACACATCAATTGTGTAAAGCACATTTGTACATTCATTGCCCTCATCATTCTCAAAACATTTTCTCTCCACTTAAACCCCCGGCATTAGGTCCTCATTTTTTCCCTCCCTCGTGAGCCCTTTATAGTTTATAAATTGTTATTTTGTCATATCTTGCCCTGTCCGCCGTCTCCCTTCACCCACTTTTCTGTTGTCCGTCCCTTAGGGAGGAGGTCACATATTGTTCCTTGTAATCTTTCCTACCCACTCTCCCTCTACCCTCCCTGTTTCGCCACTCACACCACTGGTCCTGTAGGGCTCATCCGCCCTGGATTCCCTGGATTTTCAGTTTCTATCTGTACCAATGTACATCCTCTGGTCTAGCCAGACTTGCAAGGTCGGATTCGAGTCATGGTAGTGGGAGCGGGGAGGAAACATTTAGGAACTAGAGGAAAGTTGTATATTTCATCGTTGTTACATCGCACCCTGGCTGGCTCATCTCCGTTAAGTTTTAACATATCAAACCCTTTAATTATTTTAACTGAGTGTTTACCCAAAAGATAGATACAACACTTTATGTCAAGGAAGCATAAGCCTTTTTAAATTGTTGTATGATTTTAGATGTATTAAATTAACTTGTTTGCTGTAGATTTTCTTTCATGTGGCTTACTTGATAGTAGTTAAGAAAATAGAGATTAACAGTTACTTTCAGAAGACAAAGAGAAGGTTTTAAGTAGGACTCGAAATAGGTACCATATAAAATATCTGTTCTGCTGCTCCCACTTTGATGAGCATCATCTTCACTGGGCTGCTAACTTCCGTAGTTCCTTAACTGGCATTGTGAATTACGGTCCTGAGGCCCAAAGGCTTACACTTCAGTTTTATGGCTGTGGTTTCATCTCTTCTTCATGAAACACTTGTGACTCTCACACCACTCCTGGTCCCAGCGAGTTGTACATTAGAGAGAGGTGAAGTTGGACTGGAAATCTTAGCCATCCAGCCATTCACACAGTGACACCAGTACGCTAAATTCCATTCCATTTTGTCTGTAGCAGAGTCTTCCAGCTCCTTATTTTGAGATTATTTATTTTTATACACAGGTCTATGGATATTGTACTAAACACAAGTAAGTTTGTTTGCTGGATTTTAAGTCCTACACAGGAAGCAACAAACTGAAAATCTCAAAGATGTCATTAGAGGCAAGCCATTGAATTGACATTCTAATTGATAGAAGCATCAGGAAAATGGAAAATCTCCAAACTCTAGCACAGTGGTATCACACTGATTCCTACTCCTAGCGACTCCATGGGAGAGAGGAGCACTGCTCCTTTGGATTTTCGAGGCTGTACAATCTTTGCGGGAGTACCAAACCTTATCTTTCTCCCACAGACCAGCTGGTGGGCTCAGTCTGCTGACCTTGCTGTTAGCAGCGCAATGGGTCAACCACTGCGCCGTCAGACTAGGAAAACGAAACAGAGTCATAAAATCTCAACAAATAGAGATATTTCTGGGGGCTTTTATTGTTCAGGACAGCCCACTGTAGTACCTAGAGACCCCTGAGGCTACTACTGCCCACCAACATCCAAGATTGACGCTCTTCAATGTGACCAAGTGGATAACAAAGAGTAGTAATAACTTCTGTTTCAAAAGGTAAGCTTTCCAACCAGAAAAATAAAAACAAATTGTCACCCTTTGAAAGATATAAAGTTGTAGGTATCTGGAATTTCATTTTTGTGGCAGTTCTAAATTGGGAGTTCACTATACCTACACCAAAATTTGACTTCATTTATTAATATCTCTTTAGGGGGTTTCCATTAATCAAAACTCATGATGTCTGTAATCACTTGCAGGTATGTGGTTAACCGTATTTGTAACAGTAGAAGAGTATTGGGGTGGAGTGGGTGGCAAGTCATTTTCTATTTCCTTATTAAATTGAATGAACCGTATGAGGAACATTTTTCTCCATGAAGTAAATCGAGTCAAAGGGTTCCAGAGTGCTCTCCCGGTGCTGCGGTATGGCATGTGGCACTGTCCTCTACTAGAAGGGTGTTGTGCTTCCCTCACTAGGGAGCCGTGAGTGCTCTGGCACACCCCTGCCGTACTGCCTCGTGCGTGGTCTTGGACAGCAAGCTAATGGTGTCACGGCTTTGTTTCCCCATCCCTGTTGTCTTTAGAGACCACATAGGATATTTTTTGGTAAAAAAAATACCACCACTGGGATTGAGAAGGGAGCACCCTGTGTATTCCCACTGCCCCTTGCTGCCATTTAGCATTTTCACAGGCTGCTGTTTGCCGCTTGTGGTTGAAATTGTAAACTCTTTCCCCATCATTTTCCCCTGTATACTTACGTAACATAGCACTCTTCCTTTTGCTATGTAGGGCTTGTATGGGGCTGTGGTGAGGTCATTTTAGAAAGAGCATATCCAATAACATTCCAGTTGCAACGACACTGACAGTAGACTTGTATTGCTACCACACTTACTTTGACTTGAGCAAGTGAGAATTCTTCATGGGTCAGCTTTACTGTTGGTAACGCTGTGATATTTCTAACAGAAAGTGGTATGGCTTATTCACAACATAGGTATCTTGATTTTCTCATTCTTACAATTTGCCCTTGTTAATACCTACTCATGCAGTGTCTTGCTAAAAATTACATTTTCTTCCAGACTCTCTGATGATCATAAATTTCTGTATTATAAAGTTGATCTGAGAGAAAAAAAATGTGCTGGCTCCTCGCTTGCTTTATATCAGATGAATTTAGGGAAGTAATATGGGAAATTCCAAGTAACCCAGCAAGAAAATTCTAAACAGTAACACAACTAGAAAAGGATACTGCCCTTTTACTTTGTCAGTGATTGTTTTGGGCAAAAAAAGTCATTTATAGGTAATGGGCTTGCTATTCCAGAAAGATCACTTTTGATTAGATGCCTTAAGTATGTGATATTTGGTTTGTAGTATTGTTTCCAAGTGTGTCCTCTTTCTTTAAGCAATCCAAGTTTCCTGTGACTGTAACAGTAGAAAGTCCTTCATCCTCAGAAATCGAAGAGGATGATGATTCTTCAGAAAGTGGTCATGAAATGCCCGAGAAAGCAAGTGTAAAACAAGAAGCACTACAGGTATAAAGTTATCTTACTCTTCAAGACATAGGGGTGGTGGGTTTAAATCGTACTTAGTATTTGGCAGGCAGCCTGATTGTGAAACAGCACTGCACAGCTTGCTTGAGGATCCTGTTTTCCCTTCCCTTCTACCTCCTGGAGTGAATGGCTCCTTAGCTGAGGCCAAGGTGAAAGGAGGGCACTCGAATGACAAGAAATAGACCAGAATGGATAAACAAATCATGCTATGTCCATACAGTGGAATGTTATTCAGCCATCAAGAAAAATTAAAATTCTGATACGTACAAGGACATGGCTGAACCTTGAAACGTGCAGCGTGAAGTAAGTCATAAAGTGCAGATATTACATGAAATGGGCAGAAGAGGCAAATGCATAGACACCAGGATTTATTGGTAGTTACTGGGCGGGTGGGAAGAAGTAATGAAGGTCTTACCCTAAAGGCTGTTGAGTTTCTGTTTGGGGTGAGTGGGCACTTTTGATTCTGGATAACAACATGGAAATTGTAATTCTCGTTATTGAAGTGTACTTGTAGAAGTGGTTGGATTGGCAAATGCATTGCTGGATGTCTCTCTAAAGTAGAAATTAGAAAGAGAAGAAAAACTTCATCAGCAACATATTTTCCTTTTCTAAGCATCTTAGAATCTATAGGGAGAGCCTGAAAGATTCTAAAATAAACGCAAATATCTTGAGCTTGGGATGTGTGTAATCAGTTGATTGAGTGCTTTTGTAGGACTGATCAGGGAATTTACCATTCTGGCCAGATCTCCTGGGAAACATTAATTAGCTTTTCATAAAGGTAACATTGAAAAAATAATCTTTAGTTTTACAAGTGATAATACCCTTTAATAAAATAAAAAACTTCAAGAAGCCAGCTTGCACTCCTTTATCCTATTAACCACCCAAACCCAGTGCTGGTCAGGTATTCTGACTCGGAGTAAACCCATAGGATGAGCACGGATTTGTCCCAAAGAGTGACTAAGGCTGTAATCTGTATAGACGTAGACTGCTGTCTGTTTCTTCCAGGGAGAGGCTGGTGGGTCCAAACTGCCTGCCTTTCAGTTAGCTGTTAAGTGCCTGACCACTGTGTCACCAGAATATCCTTTTATTATGGAACTCGAATTCCTACCATTGAGTCAGTGCCGACTCATAGCAACTCTACAGGACAGGATAGAAACTACTCTTGTAAGTTTCTGAGACTCTGTTTGCAGGAGCAGAAAGCCTGTCTTTCTCCCACAGAGCAGCTGGTGGTTTCGAACTGCCAACCTTGTGGATTGCAGCCAAATATGTAACCACTACATCGCCAAGGCTCCCTTTCCCTGTTATTATAGAACTATGGAAATTCCCACTGGTCACACCTTTTACTAAGTTCCACAGTAAAGATAAGACCCTATGTCATCTGTCTCTCATCTATCACTATACATGCTTTGTTCATTTTGGTTCACCAAGGGCTGAGTGGAAGACCGCTATGGCCATGGGGAACATAGACCTCTGGGGAAGATTGGGCACTGTAACTAGGGAATTTCTAGTTAAAAAGGAAAAGTGCGTCACACATTGCACATCCTTTCTACTCTTCTCCATTGTGAGAACACAACAAGAATGAAGGTCGCAGAATGTGACTGCTCCGGCGGCCACCAAAGGGCAGGCTGGCGGTTTCAGTTTCTCAGAGACACCTCAGAAGAAAGGCCTGGTGATCTGTTTCCGAGGAGCAGGACTCTGCTCTGCCAGACCGAATTCACTCTGTGGCTCTCACCTGGTTTTCCTGGTTCACCTCTGTGAGCAAGGTGAATGAAAACATGCCCAGAAACACACACTCTTCACTGAAATGTCAAAATAGCTAGAGCAATTTCACAGAAAAGAAGAGTAGTCACCTGTCAAAATAAATCAGGAAGGACACCTATGAAATTTGGGACTTTTAACCAAGGGTTTCATATCCAGCCAAATTTTCAACCATAGTGAGGGCTGAATACTCCATGTTTTCCATGTGTATTTAGAAATAGTACCACCTCTGTAAGAAAGCAGTTTGGAGATAAATATGTAAAGACCTTTTAAATGTTCGTTTGTAGTATCTAAAATTCCATTTTTAGTGATGTAAGAATATTATTTTCAACATGAAAAATACCTTCTTGGTTTTAAAATCACATTTGTGGTGCAGAAATAATCTCAATGTTTACTCATAAAAGTATGATTAAGTAAACCAGAAAACCCACGCTCTGGTGGTCTAGTGAATTACATGTCTGTTAGGCTGTAGTTTTAGTATCAACGGCTCTGCAGGAGGAAGATGAGGCTTTTCCACTCCCATAAAGAGTCACAGTCTGGGAATCCACAGGGCAGTTCTACCCTCTTCTGTGGGATCGCTTTTTGGTTTTGTCTTGCAAAAAAATCTAGTTAGGAATCCTCCGATAATATGAGAAATGATGGATTTATGTCAGATGGAAAAGAGTTGAGCGTAAAATTGGATATGGATAGAAGGGAGGTGGAAGCGGCAACAAGAAGGAAAATCACAATCTTTAGTTGTATTTGGGTAGTTGGATATCAAGTAAATTTACTTTGTAATGAGAGGCAACATGTTTCATTAAAATTTAACATGTGTTCTAGCTGAGTTCCCCCACTAGAGGGAGAAAGGATTTCATGTATTGCACTTTGATGTGTATTTAGAAATGGTCAAGAGTAGACTGTTTTTGTTTCTGTTCTCTAGTTGTGATAGGATTTTGTTTGTTTGCTTCTGTTTGGAATATCCATGAAATATTTTCAGATATCAGGACCATCGTGAATAGTCAGGAGAGGAATTTGGGTTTCCCCCCCCAAAACGTAGTTGACTTTAACTGGCTGTAGGTTGTCATCAAATGTATGTGGGTCATGGCAACCCCATGAGTGCGGAGTAGAACCAACCGCCCCGCAGGGTTCCCAGGCTGTGATCATTCAGGAGCAGATCGCAGGCCAGGTGGACATGGCAGTTCAGACTGGGTTCAGACCATCAACTTTTTCCTTCATATTTGAGAGCTTAACGCTTTGTATCACCCAGGGGACATTTTAAAAAATGAACTTACTGAAGTATTCATTGTTTTCATCAAATATAAGTATATGCTCAAATTTCAATAATATATGTAAATTGAGGAAAATGTTGAAAACTGAAAAATGTTAAAGGAAATAAAAGCTATCTCTGGACATGCAGACATATCTATACATTCTTAATCTGCCTCTTTGTCTTAAAACGTTAATCAGAAATGTTGAGCCATGTCATGAAATTCTCTTCTACCTCAAAGAGTCGGATTGAGCTTGTACACCATCCCCCAGAAGCAACGTCCCACTGCACTGACTGTGGTGAAGCCCTGTTTTAATGGCTTCAGATAGCCTGCCTTCTGGCCAATGAGCTGCTTTTTATTTATTCATATTATCTTATTTGAACCAACCCGATTTGGAGACATGAAGGTAATGACATTTTGATGAATCTTTACATACACCTTGATGATTTCTATAGGTTAAGTTCCCAGGCATAGAACTGTGGGTGTATATTGGCGATTAGATATTCTCTAGAAAATAGTAGCCGTTTTCTCTCAAACAGTAGAGTGAATGCCTCCCATTACCCCCCACACACACTCTGTTCTGTCTCTCATCTAACACAGGGGTATTAGGAATATTTTAACTTTGAAATTTGGCACCAAAAAATACCAAAGGGGTTCCATTCGTGATCTGTAGCTCTCCAAGTTTTTTTAGATCTGGAGAAAAAAGATCCTTAGTCCCCATTAAGAAGTGATCATATAAACAGATTTGCATCTAGAAAAATTTCCCATTTTTCTCTGCCTCCATATTTCAGAGTATAGTGTTACATGGGCTACAAAAATGAAGATTTAAAGTCAAAATTTATGTTAGTTTTTGTTGCTGTTGATGAAATAATAGTATTTTTTTAAACGCTGCTCTGTTACCGTGAGGTTAATTCACATCCTGGTATAGGTCCATTGTAAATTATATATCAAGTATATATTAGAATAGGTTTTGTATTATTCCTAGAGAGTGAAGGTCCTGCTAATCTCTAAAGTAGTGATCTTCAGAATTAAAGATTCTTGTGAACTTCATATGTTATCCACTAAGCGGCTACTACCTCATGTTTCTCACCTGCTTTGATGTTGTAATTAATACCTCACCATGTTTTATTCCCTCCATGTGCTTTAATGTGTTAGCACACAGACTATTTTTGTTAGTGCCAGAACTTTTTTTAAGTGAGTTTTTAATTTTACTTATTTTGTTGTCAAGACTATACATAGCAGGAGGTATACCCATTCAGGTTTTCCTCTATGCACACTGATCACATTAATTAATCAGACATTGATTACATCATCAGATAGGGTAACCATTCTCACCTGCTTTTTCCTGATTGTTCCTCCTCTGTTAACAGAAATTCCAAATTAGAGTTCCCTGAGTTTCCTATCTCATCTTAGGAGTCACTTCTGTCCATTCCATCCAGTAAGGGTGGTGGTGGTGGTTAGATTCCTGTGTTAGTCTGGGTAAGCTGGAGAAACAAATACATAGAAACTCATATGTGTATAAGAGAGAGTTTTATATAAAGGAAAATTATACTAAGCAAGCATCCCAACCCGATCCAGTCCAAGCCCTTACGTCCGATATTAGCCCCTATGTCCGATACCAATCTGTAAAGTCCTCTTCAGACTCACGAAACACATCTAGTGATGCCGAACGCAGGACGGTCACAGGCCAGTAGGTAGAAAGTCTTTGGATCCAGTGGCCGGGTAAGCATCTCAGTGCTGGCCAGGGGTCTGTCTCCACATGGCTTCTCCAGGTCCAGGGTTCTGGCTGCATCAGGGTAGGTTCATGTGGCTTCTCAGGGACGTCTCGAGGGAGTCAGCCTTGTCAATAGAGTTTCCTAGGGTCGGGAGCCCAGAGAGAGAAGTCTTCCGACTCCACAGAGGTAAAAACAGATTTCCCAGAATTCTCAGGAGAACGCCATGTCCACAGAGGTCTCATTGGCTGTCTCTGGATTGACAGGCTACACTCCACCCCTACACTCTTAATCCTCAAATTGACAAACTATTATATAGTTACCCTGTTTCCCCAAAAATAAGACAGTGTCTTATATTAATTTTTGCTCCCAAAGACATGCTAGGTCTTATTTCAGGGGATATCTTATTTTTCCATGAAGAAGAATACGGTACAGATTTATTGTTGAACCAAAAAAAAAAAGGAAATTTATTACCTGTATATGGTACAGTAGTAGTTGTCATCACAAACCAGCATGACCAGACAAACTGAATCCTACAGTATCAAGAATGTCTAATTGTGAGTCAGCCAGACTCCGTCAGGGCAGAGCGAGCTGCAGGTGGCAGCGTGGCGCAGGCTCTATGATTAAAAGAGACCCTGCACTTCCTCTCTGCTGCGGCGGCCGCTACTGTCCAGAATCCAGAGTTATGGTAGCTTTGGGGGTGGGGGGGGCGTCTTATATTTCAGCGAGAGGCAAAACTAAGTAGGTCTTATTTTCAGGGGATGTCGTACTTTCGGGGAAACATGGTACCACAGTGCCATTGAGTCGAATCCAACTCATAGCAACCCTGTGTACAACAGACCAAACCCCCTCCCGGTTCTACACCATCCTCACAGTTGTTACTTCTGAGCTCATTGTTGCAGCCTCTGTCAATCCATCTTGTCGAGGGTCTTCCTCTTGTTTTTCGCTGCCTCTCTAAGGCTTTACCAGGTCTGGTGTCCTTCTTCAGGGACTGGTCTCCTACTAACTTGTCTGCTGATAATATGCCCAAGTACAATCAGGGTAGTTCTTGAAAAGAGCACTATGCTCAAATCTTAATTTACTGAGTAAGCCAAAACTATTTGGTTTAGAGAAGACTTCGGAAGATATTTTTGCTTAAGGTTTAAAGATGATCTCAGGGCAGTAGTTTGCGTGGAGGGGTGACCAGATCCTTTATAGGAGAGTTGTCTTGTGTTTTTGAATTAACTTTTCTACATGGAAGTTTTCTGTGAGAACATTGACTGTTCCCAAAACTTTTGGACTTTGCCTCCTTTATCCACACTAGGCTTATCTGTGTCCTCTTTAAAATAACATTGCCTAGTGGAACTTGCTGCAGTGGTTAAATACTCTGTAGTGTGTTGTTTAGAGTGGTAGCTACACTGGCTACATGTTACATGGACACTTAGAATGCTGCTGCTGCTGCAGTTCAGGAACTGAATTTAAATTTCAATTAACTCATAGTCCCTTGTAAGTAGTAGCTACCACATAGATGGTACAGTGATTTAAAGCATTGTGTTAAATATTCCAAAAGTTGATGAAACTTTTTTAAAACTTTGTATTGTTAATTAGATGAAGATTTATGCCGCTGGTTATTAAACAGCTTATCAAACCTTCCATTGTCTTTCCCTGCTCCCATTTCTCCCCCCCACCCCAGTCTTCTTTCTCTTGTTGGGTGTTGTCTTTCTCTGCACCCAGATGCCCCTGGCTGTCCTCTAGCGTGTGATCATCCTTTCTCTCCCTTCCCCTTGCCCGTTAGGAAGCCATGCAAGTCGGCTTCGTTCATTCCGCAGGCCTTGAGTTTTCTACAGCCGTGGTCTCGTACAGTAGCTGTCTTTTCCTCTTGACAGTTCTCACTCAGCTAATGCCCTCAGAGGAGGTTCGCCCATGCCATGAGGTGCTTTAGTGCTGTGTAGGGTTCCATTGTGTGTATATACACCAACATTTACCCATTCTCCAACCAACGGGCAGTGTGATAGCGTTGCCGTGAACATGGTATGCATTTATCTGTTCCTCTTACAGCTCTTACATCTTTATGCCAAGAGGAGAAATTGCTATGTCTTCTGGCATTTCTAATGAAGAATTTATTGAATTATGACTATCTTGAAAATAAATAGAAGTTCTTGGGGTGATCAAATTTAGCTTTACATCATAGGCAAATTGGTTTATAGTTGTATGTGAAACCAATATTGAGTTGGGGTTTTTCTGCTGTCCTTATCGATTAAAAGCCTTGACTTACAAGTTTCTTGAGCATATGACGTCATCTTTTCCCCAGTGAAAAGACTATACCCATTTTACAGAAGGCTTTGTGAGAATCACACAGTGCAACGAGTCGACAGCCTGCTCTTTCTCCCACTGAGTGCCTGGTGCTTTCAAACTGGGCCTTCCAGTTAGCATCCCACCAGGTAGCCCACTACACGCTCTGGAGCCCCGCTGGTCAGACTAGCAGGCTCATAGTGGTAAGGATAAGGAATCAAACACTGAGAGGCCATGTGATGTGCTTTGAGGCCTGAGACTGAACACCTGATGGATTTGGTTGCAAATAGGAAGGTGGATCAGTGAGAGAATGACAAAATTAGTGCCTGTTCTATATTGATGTTATATCAGAAAGATCAGAGATAGCACACTGTAGATAGATAAAGCCATGCAAGTGTGTTTTGTTGGTTTTGTTTTGTTTTGTTTTTTTAATTAATCTATTGTTACTCAGGGTCCATTGTTTTTGTTAGTTGTAGCTAGAAAGGCTTTTCAAGTGCTTGTTGGTGGTACCACCCTTCTAGGGAAAATAGCCCTTGAAAACAGCATGAAGGAAGCAAAGGGCTAAGTTTTCAGGACTAACTATAAGTGAGGATGTATAGGAGAGAAACCCTTGAGGTAGACTTTGCGAGGGGGGATGATTTGGAAGGTGGAACAGAATGAACAAAGTTATGGAAGAACTTGGATCAATCAGTGTGGAGCTCTTATTTTGGAAAGTAGACAGGCATAGGTTTAGCCTGGTAACTTTTAAGTTGAAACTCTTTGTTTAAATAATTATAATTATTTGAAATATTCAAACTTACTGTCCCATTTCATTAGTAGAAGTGTTCTGTTCACTTATGATTGCATTATAAGCCACCCCAAAGCAGTGACCTGAAACAGTAACCATCCTTTATTTTGCTCACAAGCCTTGAGACTGAGTAGTACCTTATTTTTAGTTGGCACAAACATGCTGGCTTAACACAACACTCATTTGTTAGCTCACAGTTTTGTAGGGCAGAAGTCAAGGGAAGCTGAATGAGGTGGGGCTCACTGCTGAAATCACTGGGTCCTGGATTGGCCAGGGTGTGTGTTATCTGTTGGCTCCGGAGAAAGAAGAAGCCATTTCTGAGCCTATTCAGGTGTTGACAGAATTCACTTCCTTCCGTGGGATGGAAACGACTACAAGAGTCTACGTATAGCCTCCTCCCTGGGGGATAGACAGCAGAGAAGGGGACGTCAGACAGTGTAACATATGACAAAATAATAATATTTTATGAATTATGAAGGGTTCATGAGGGAGAGGGGAAAATGAACAACCAATATTAAGAGCTCAAGTAGAAGGCAAATGTTTTGAGAATGATGATGGCAACAAATGTATATATGTGCTTGACACAATGGATGTACGTAGGGATTGTGATAAGAATTGTACAAGCCCCCAGTAATGATTTAAAAAAAAAGAATAATTCGCTACCTTCCAGTGGTAGGACTAAGGTTTCTGTTTCCTTGCTAGCTCTCAGTAGGGGCCACTCTCTGCTCCTAGCAGCTTCCCTGCTGCAGTCCTTACAGCATGGCCTGCAGTGTCACACTTCAGAGACTTTCTCTAGGACTGTGTCCAACTTAGATAGTAACTCTCATAATGTAATCCATATGAAAGAGGGAGAAGAGAAGAGGGCGGAGGGAGACGTCGGACAGCGTAACTTATGAAGAAGAAGAAAGAAAGAGGGAGAACAGGATTTTTCCTCTTACCAGCACGGTGTGATACACTAATCCTGATGTCCAGGTTCACTTGTGACTCTGCTCCTCAGTAGTTGGTGACAACTCGAGTTGGGAGCTCTTCCGATATCGGACTGCAATGAGTGTCTTTCCCGTCCCTCTTCCTCCCAGGGGAAACTGGACGAGTGCCTAAAGCAGTTACAGGAGGAAAGAGTGTTAAGGCTTAGGGCTGATAAACGACTAAGTGAGGTAAGCAGCGTCTTTTTAAAAAATACTTTTTGTATAATTTTATTTCACTTGAGCCACAAACACATGCACACGCTTTGTAAAAAAAGTGAGCCAGGTATATAGGCTGTTGCAAATTGGTTACATCAAACTAACCTATGTACTTGTATGTTGTGGTCATGTGGTATGTATTCCAGAAGCATAGTGTCTGTTTGTTTGTTTCTTTATGCTCTTCTATGACCTCATTTGGGAAATCAAAACGTTTGGCAGACCACCACCCAAAACCAAGAAGAGCCCGTCTTAGGCGTACACTTTCCATACAGCAACATAAACAACAGACGCTATGAGGTGGCTCTCTACCCTGGCAGGGAAATAGGAAAATGAATAAGGGGCGGGGGCGCTAAGAATGTATTGGTAACCTAGTTTAAACTTCAACTAAAAATATACCATGAAATCTTAAAACCAAGCAGTAATTTAGTTTAAGTAGTTTAAACAGTAAAGTATACCTTGAGGATGATGTTTTTCTAGGGTCTATGCACATGGGATCAAAGTGACAATAGCAATTCGAAAGTTACATGGGAAACTTGGAGAGGGTGAATTCATGTTGATGAGTGAGGGGAGGGACAACTCAGAAAAGGGTAGGCACCTTGAAGAATGTAATTAGTGACACTGAATTGCACCTGTAGAAACTGTTGAATATGTTGTGTGTTTTTTACTGTGTATATTTTCAACATGAACAAGAAATAAATTTTTTTAAGAATCCATAGGAAATATTAAAAGTACACTTAATAAATTATATTATGGTTTAGAGCTTTCAGACAGACTTACATACTGAATACTGTACTTACTAAAGTTAATCCTTAAGGAGCACTGGTGGCATAGAGGTTCTATATTGATTGGGCAGATAATCATAAGGTCAGCCGTTCAAAACCACCAGTTACTCTGGAGAAGAAAGATAGGACTTTCTACTCCTAAAGAGATACAATCTTAGAAACTCACAGGGGCAGTTCTGCCCTGTCCTAAGGGTCACTGTGAGTCGGCATTGACTGTTGGCCATGATCGGAAAGGTAAACATTCCATTGAATTGTGCTGTGATTTTCTCAAGTTAGACTCTATTTTATTTTCCAATTTACAAAGACCTTAAGCTGCTAATTTTCTAATGCAGAGTGGGGATCCTGTCTGAATTTATCCAATTAGAAATGTAAACTTTTTGAATAGTCTCTGTAGGAGTGGCTTAAAGTCTCTGCATGTCATTGGGTGTTGACTGGTGTATGATACAGTCTGTCTTCACTGGTGGAGACTCGATTAACTCTCTAGGAGTTTTAATTCTGTGACTTACAAATTGTTCGTTTTGATGGCAGTGAAAGAAAATGGTTGTACATCTCCCCTCTTGTTTTCTAGCTAGAATATGAGAATGCCAAGTTCAGAGAGATCAACTTCTCTTTGTCTGAAGCCCTTCATGCACACACTTTGACGAGCATGATGCTGGATGACGAAGGCGTTTTGGGCAGCATTGAGAAGTCTTTTCAGAAGTTTCATGCTTTCTTGGACCTCCTGAAAGATGCTGGGTTCGTTCACTGCTCTCCATGCGTTCTTCCCTCCGTGACTTGGTGTCTTTTGGTGGGGGACTTGAGCGTATGCTCCACCTCATCCATGAGCCATGTTTAGTGTATAATTGTAGGTGATATACTCGCTCCTTAGGGGAATTAATTTAGAGAGAAATGCAAACTGGCAAAGCCACGTTGGCAGAGGCGAGAGCCCATTACAAAAGCGAATCCCGTACATGAGTAACTGGTAGGTACCGTTCTTGGTAAAGACTAAACTGAAGGTGACTTCAGTTGAATATATTCAGGACTGCATAGATGTTTCCCTATCTTTTATTCATTTCCCTTGTTAATTAATTAGAATTAATTTTGTCCTAGACATAAAAATTTGTTATGTAAAAAATGTAATCTGAATGGCAGATAGAAAACCTAGTTCTCATCGAGGAACAATTTTGCGGAAACAAGGAGTTGGAGATCGATCGTTGGTACAGCGAGTTTTGTAGGTGCATAGGTAGATATGGGAAAGGAAGAGTAGGCACCACGGTTTGGGCTGCTGGAGGAAAGGTGATTCCATTGTGGGGGTGAAAGTAGAGGGACTGCATAGGCACCTGGTGAACGCTGAAGCTGCTCGTGATATAGTCGCTGTAAGTGGATCGGTTACAAGAGGAAAGGCCTTGAAGGCAGGTGATACTCAATGCAGTGTCAGGACGACGGCGAGGGAGTGGAGTGCTTGAAGCAGCAGGTGGTCTGGGGAGGCCCCAGTACATGAATATGGAAAGGTCTGAAGTTGAGGCTGTTAGGGGTTGTAATCTACTGTGGGATACTGGCTTTTCCGGTCAGGTGTACGGACATCAAAGCTGTTCGTATGTGATTACGAAAGTCCTTGCCTTCCCTCCCTTCTCCCTGTCTCTAGGCTTGGGCAGCTTGCCACAATGGCTGGCATCGATCAGTCAGATTTTCATTTGCTGGGGCGGCCCCAGATGAATTCTACCCTGACTCGTGCTCCTGAAGAAGACAAGAAAGCCCTGGAAGAAGGAAAGCCGGAATCAGAGAAGAAGGCGCTGGGGCCAGTGCCCAACGTCCAAGTAAGTATTCGGGGCGGAGATTACCACTTACAAAAGTGACCTCGCAGAAAGGGGCTTCCCAAGTCAGAAAGAAAATCGCCAACCAGCTATTCCTAGCAGTTCAGATACTTGGGGTCCAGAAACCTCTCCGGGATCCATTCCAAGTCTGAGAGGAGTGTTTTGTGCCCGTTTCATGATGATGTATTAGTGAATAGGAAAAGCAGAAGAGTTCGCACCTCACCCCCAACCCCCCTGGGATTTTCTGATCTCAAGCAGTTCAGTTATCCTCAGTGGAAAAACAACGAAAAGATTTTAGAGAAAATATTCTAAGTGTTCATTTTGAAACTGTCTGTTCATATTTTACCTAGGTTTCTATTTGTATGCAGTCAGCTTACAGGGAAGGATCACTAATGAAGGTACAATACCGATACAGATGATTGTTAAGAATAAGTAATCCCACAGAACGAATGGGCCTTAGCATGTAGATCATAAGGTCCCAGACTTCCTTGGCTTACCGCCCCGCCCCCATTTCAGGAAAAAACATTACACGGTATTCCATTCCCCCTGGCAATTAGAAATATGTGTACACTCGTTCATAATGTAGGGGAAGATATAGGTCTCTGCTTTTGCAACCCTCTGGGTCGTTCCAGTGCCCTCAAAGGGGTGGTATTGCCCACTTTGGGAAATACTGGTACACAGTGACCACCGGTTTTGGAAATGGGAAGGGCCAGAGTCCCCTGCTACTTTGCCTCTAGCCTCATTTGGAGGGTCCCTCTCCCCGCCCCCTGTGTCCCTTCTGAACCACTCTCAGGCCCATCTGCAGAACTGACAGCTTGCGAACACAGTCTAGTCACACATGGATAATGATCACACATGGCTAGAAGATAGAAAATCAATTAATATTCTAAGGGAATAGGTTTTTTCCTTTTGGGGTGGGGGTAGGTTTTTCTTTTCTTTCCTTTAATGAGGGAGGAGAGGAAGATGGGTAGTGATGACCCAAGACACAAAATTATGGCAGAAATAGTCTTGGGTGCAGCTAAGTCAAGTTGGAAGTCACGTATCAAGACACAGGGCTGACTGGGGAAATGACTCTTGAGACCTCCTGAGTAATCAGTTGACTGTCATAATAAAATCAGAGTCCCTGACGTTTGGGACTCTGACTTCTGAATGGTTGGATTTGTTCATCACAGAATGTTTTGGTTTGTATTTCCTTCCAGTTTGAGAAAATTACAGGTGATGCCAGAATTCCTTTGCCTCTGGACTCCTCCCATGTCCCAGCTCCTACCCAGGAGAGCTCCGTGATGCTCAAAGACAACGTGGGTGCCCCAGGTGCCGAGCAGCAGCAAGAGTCTTTTGAAGAATTCCTTGCAAAAGCGTGCTCTCCGCCATCAGGTGTGCTTGCTGAGATTGGAAGTCCGAGAAGAGAAGAGGAGTTGTCCAGAAGTAGCAGGTCTTCAGAGAGACTGAACAAGGCGGGTGAATATACTAAAAAACACTCTGCCAAGAAACAAGCTGGAAAAGATGTTTATTTCTTCCCGAGTGCTGATGTGAGCCGGAAAAGCAAAGGAACTGGGGAGAATAGTTCTCTGATTAATGAACCAATTAAAAGTGAGCCTTTGAAAAAACACATTTCTGCCAAGAAAGAAGTTGGAATGGTGACCTTATCATCCAAGACAAATAAAAGTAAACGCAGTCCACCAGAACATTCTGAAAGTGATACTCTTGTATCGGATTTTGAATTTCAAGAAAGTATCCATACTCTATCACGGCTGACATAGGACTAAATCTTGTGAAATTATGCTTTTTTGCCTTCAAATTTCAATAAATTTTCTTACATTTTCTTTATAGCATATGTTTTAAAATACAGGACAGGAAGCCACTAGTGAAAGATTCACCTCTACTTTTATTACAATGAAGCTTTTAGTGTATTTTTCCTTTTTAGTAAGAACTTTCTGAGGGCCTAATATGATTCTATGTACAATGGTTCCTAATTGGGAACAAAATATGGCCCATACCTCATGAAACCAATACTCTGTCGAAGTGAGGAAACCTATGGCGGGTGGAAGGAGCTCAGGTGGTACAGTGGTTAAGTGTTGGATCGATATTATCACAAGGTAGGTGGTTCAAACCCACTAGTTGCTCTTCCGGAGAAAGATGTGACTCTTCTGTAAGGATTTCTAGTCTCAGAACCCTAAGGAGTATTGCCACACTGTCTGGTAAGGGGACTAAGAGTTGGGCTAGAAGGCAGTGAGCTTGGTGTGGTGGTTTGGTTTTTGAGGCAGGTGAAAAAAAAGTAGATTAAGGGATGTGAATTAGTAAATGCGTGTTCTACCATCGAGTTAAAAGTGAAAATACTGTAAATCATGTGGCCAAGGTTATTGGTTTATTCTTTCTGATAGTCACAATAGCAAACACTAAGATACAAAGATCACAATAACTCTCTGAGGTGCTGTTCAGTTGGTTCCTACTCAAAGCAGCCTTATGCACACCCGGATGAAACACTGCCAGACCCGCTCCACTCCCACAATTGTTGCGTGTGAGCCCATGGTTGAAACCACCAAGTCAGTCGAGGAGCTGGTTCTTTTCACTGACTGCCGTGCCTGGTGTTCACTTCTGAGGACTGGTTCCTCTTGATACCATGTCCAGAGTGTCTGAGACCAGGCTTGTCCTCGCTCCTAAGCAGCATCTGGCTGTCCTTACAACAAGACAGAATTGTTTGTTGTCCTGTTCTATTCCATATTCTTCACCAACACTATGATTTAAATGTATTGGTTGCTCCTCGGTCTTCCTTAATCATTGTCCAGCTTCCATGCTATAAGAGAATTAGTATGTGAATTGTCCAAAATCACTGAGCTATAAATGATAGAACTGGGATTTGGCTTTAACACTTGGCTAATCCTACTTCCGTCATAAAAGAGGGAGCCCCTGAGGAGAATGAAAATGTAGGGCAGGCAATCAGAAAGCATTTGTGCCCCCCTCGCCCCATCCTGGGTAGGAGGCTTTGAAAGGTAGAGAATGTAAGACTTGTGAAGTCACATCTCTGTTCCTCCTGGGAAAACAGCTAAACCCCTTAACACACAACCAGATTTTTACTTGAGAAGTGAGATTGAAGAAAAGCAGGAGTGTCCGATTTTAGAAGGTCCAGGCTGGTTGCTATCAAAGACTGCTACTACTGTGCTATTTAGTTTAATCATTGACCCAGTGTTTTGCAGATGAGACAATGACTGCATTCCCATCTTGCCTTCTAACATAGAAGGTGAGGCAGATACAGCAGATGTTTTGTTTGTGTGTTACATTTAGTGTTGGAAATAGGGATCTAGCCCAGGGGAACGGTAGGCTACACTAGAAGCCCTCGTGTGGCGTGGCGCCTCTTGAGTGCTCATAACCAGGAGGTGGTCAGCAGTTCACCTAATTGCTGTGTGAGAGGAAGCTGAGGCTTGATACTCCAGGAGAGATTTGCAGCCCCAGAAAGCCACCAGGGCAGTTCTGTTCTCTGGTAGTGCTATCACCCAGAAGGCAAAAGTTTTGAGTGAGGCAAGAGGTAAATCCTAAACCAAGTCTTCACGGACTCAGTGGAGACCAGTGAATATGGAAATACAGGAGGATACTCAGCACAAGCAGCAGCCCGAATAGAAGCACAGAGCCATCAGTACAAGTCTGCGCTGTTTCTCCCTGTTGCCGAGTCCAGTCTGTCCCCACCCCTACAGCACTGCTAGAGGGGTGTCCTGCACTAACTACACAAAGAGAAAGCCTCCTCCGCCATGACATATTTGGATAACCACACATACCACCAGCTTTGAATAACGAATATATTTAAGCCATGGCAAGTGATGCTAAGGAGAATAGAGCTGATTCTTTTTCCTCAGAAATGGCTGATAACTACTAGGTAGCTATTAAAATGGGATTCGCTAATAAAAGGGATTGAAGATTGGAAGTGATATGTTAAGGCTTGCCTTTTAGATAATTATGATGCAAAGTAAACTTGGAAAAGCATGAAGAATAATTAAGCCACAAGCTTGTTTGTTTTTTAAAATGGGATTTGTACTAGCACTTCTGCTCCTTTCCCCATGAAAACAATCTGTGGGTAAATATTTGGGAAATGCTGGATTATACTAAAAGATTCCTTAATGTAGCATTCCTCCTCGGGCTGTTTGCTGTAGATGAAATGGCCAGTCGAAATCTTCAAGACTGGCATGTCATATGCAACCCCTGTAATTATGGAATCAATAAATATAGAATCTACAATAGCAACAGATTTTACCGGACACCAAGTTGATAAATTCTGCTTTAGGGAATCGCTACTGGAAGGGAGGTCTGAAACAAGGTTTAGATAAAAGAGGGATTATATTCAGATCCTGTTGAGAGCAAAATGGGTGAGTTACAGAGTAAAGGGAAAAGGAGACAGAGAGAGGCCTCCTGCTTGTGTGACTACGGTTGGGTGGTAGTGTCATTGAGCCTAGAAATTAAGAATAAAGACCCGGAGAGAATACTGTTGGTTACAACGGTTTTTAAGGCATCTATAGAATTAGGGTTGTGGTCCCCAAGATCAGCAGTGAAAAACTGCTAGCCACTCTGAGGGAGAAAGATGGGCTTTCTAGTCCCAGAAAAAGTTGCATAGTTTTGGAAACTTAACAGGCAATTCCAACCTGTCCGACAGTGTCTCTAGGGGTCAGCATCAACTTGATGGCAGTAAGTCTATGGAATTCAGAAAGAGATGCCTGGGAAATAACTGAACATGGATAATTTCCATGATCTTGGGTAATTAAGAAATGAAAACAAAATCAAAGATGGGTGAGATCACACAACTGTGGGTATTGTCAAAGCAGAGAAAGGAGTCTAAGAAACTTTCAAGAAGAAAGAACTACCAGCATTGTGCATTGGATTTGCAGGTTAGATTTCTGGTAACCAAAACAGTGCTACTGAATGGATTCTGACCTAGAGAAACTTTCTGAGACTAACTGTGGGAGTACAAAGCCTCCTCTTTCTGCCACTTAATCCATGTGGAGACGTCACAAACAGATTGGGGGCTTCTGTCCCCAAATTTGTTCACATTTTAAGCCCTGAGACCATTCCCCTCTTTGGATTGGGGTTTTATTATTTACAGTTCTTGGCTCACACAGGCTGGTGTGCTGCTTCCATGTGGACCATAGTTGACGCCTCCCTTCATGGTTGCATGTTTGAAGACAAACATTTAAGACCCCAGACACTGTTCTTTCTGATAGCTGGGCACCACCTCATTTCTTCACCACACTGCTCCAGCCCCCATAGCTTTAGTGATTTCTTAATGAAGGTAAGCACCAACCATGTCGTAAGAACTCATTGTTCATAGATTGGGGCTAGAACTGAGAGTTTTGAACAAAACTCATCATAATCTACTAGTTTTCTAGTGTAACTGATGAGAAAATTTAGCAAGGAGGCCGAACACGATATTAGCACACAATTCAAAAGCTTTTGTACAGTGGTAAGTCAAAGAGTACGGCTACAAAATGATGGAAATCATTGCTAGACAAACCAGGATGCTATGTTTCTTGACATAACCTCCATCTAGGTTCACGTGGTGTTTCCCTCTCTAACCCTTGTCTGAAGAATCCTGCCTTTGATTTCCATCGCATCAAAATAGCAGCCTTTGTATCCTCAAGGCACTCAAAGTGTGTTCCTTGTAAATGTTCTTCAGTCTGGGCAAGAAAAAAACCAGAAGGAGAAGGATCAGGGATGTATGGGAGCAGGGGTAAGGTTGCCCCCACACAATTTGTCCGGGATAAAGCCTGGCTGGTCTGTAAGAGGAAGCAGGTGCATTGACGGAAAAAAATAAAACCAAACCTCGGCCTGGCTTTCCTGGCCCCGTTCTCACCCGTGCCGTTTTCAGTGTTCGTAAAACTTCAAATATCCCCCAGGGTGGCCTGGCCCCTCGATAAAAATCTATCAAGATTAGCCATCATTAATCTCAACACTTAGTCACCACAACTATGAGCTGATCCCGTGCCTGGAATTTAACTAGTCTAGCAGATCCCCTTGGAAACCATTGTATTGATAAGAGTTGTTTGGTTGTAAAGGCACCCTGATGTTTTCACTGACTAATTCCGTAGAAGTTCCAAAGTGGGCAGCCTATTCCTTTGTAGTTTGTTCTTAGTCTGGAAGTGTGAATGAAAGCTGTTCACTTTACAGCTTCCAGCATCACAGCAACACACAAGCCATCCCAGTATGACAAACGCAGACAGCAGAGACCATTGTGGGGATGGTGCAGGACCCGTAGGGTTTCATTCTTGTCCGTAGGGTTGCTAGGAGTTGGAACTGACTCAACAGCATCTGACAACATCAAATGAGAATAGGCAAAGTCCAGCTGAGAAAACGCCTGCAGCCAGCTGCTGCTTGCAGGAACACTTCAGCACCCTTTGGACGAAACCCTGCAGGGATGAATTGGAACCCTAGTTCCAATTATTCAGTTATTTTTTATATACCAGCAATAACCCATTAGGAAATGTATGTGGGGAGAGAATCCCATTCACAATACCTGCAAGGCAAAATAGTACATAGAAATAAAGCTTAACAGAAACGCAGGAGTATATGAATACAATAATAAAGATATAATGAGGGACATAAGATTGAAAAAATTGAGAGGCATGTCACATTCCTGTATGAGAAGACTCAGTTTGAATATGCCAAATCTACTAAGTTATTTTATAAATGCCAAGCAATTTCACACAATCACAGCATGATTTTTTTAAAGTAGTTATAAGAACCTGAAGTGGTGGTCCCCCAGCAAAAATTCTTGGCCATTGAGTCAATTCTGACCCAAAAAATCTGATGACATTTAGTTACATCCAACCCATAGCAGCTCTAT